GAATTTAAGGTTTTGTTATGTAAATGGTTTTTTTTTCTGATTTTTCTGCTGTAATTTTTTATTTTACACATTGACTTGAATTTGTCTGAAAGGGTTTTTCAAGGATCCTTTTGTTGATGGATGTATTTTGATTTGTGGATTGATTGAGGTTTTAAGGCTTTTTCTGTAAAAAGCTTCTTCTTTTAATTCATGGTTGATGCTTCTAGAATCTGGATTTGCTTGATGAGTTCTAGGTTATAAGGTTTCCTCTTTTTATTTAATTTGCTGCTTGTTTTTTGGTATTTAAAATCTCTGTGTCCAGAATTTTACAAAAATATTAATAAATCTGGATTTGTCTTTGTGTTCTGTGTTGCTGCAAGTTAATGGTTTTTCCATTTCTGTGACAGTCTAGTCAATTGGAATGTAAAATCTGTTTTTCTATTTTTGTGTATGTATTTGGATCTATGTCAAGAGGTTCCAGTGATCTGTGTTAATAGAAGTGATTCTTTTAGCCAAATTGTCTTCTTGTTATGTGTAGTGGTGGATCCAATGTAATGGTACCAGGTTCATCTGAACCTAATAGTTTCGACTCGGAGCATAAATTTATGTGTAGGAATTCACTAAAATTGCAATAAATAGTAGACATGAATGATGTTGATGACGACATGCTTGAGATGGTTGTATTAATAGCTTGCATTAGTTTCGATCTTTTCTATGGTATCAATTCCCATAGTTATACGTTGTTGTCGAAATGTTTATTTAGTTATTCTTTGACATGAAATTTTTTTACTTTATGAGTAACTGATAATATACTTGCAATTACAGGTGTGGACACTGTAAGAGTCTTGCTCCTGAGGTACACTTTCTTCTATACAGTGCTTAATGAAGGAAGGAATATCATTTTTCTCTGTCATTATGTTTTTTCTTGGCATTTTCAATCTATGCAACTGATTTAATGTTAAATTATGTTTCTTTCCAGTATGAAAAAGCTGCCTCAGAGCTGAGTAGTCATGACCCTCCAATTGTTCTAGCTAAGTATGATGCAAATGATGAAGCCAATAGAGAACTTTCAAAACAGTACGAGATCCAGGGTTTCCCAACTATTAAGATATTGAGAGATGGAGGAAAGAAAGTTCAAGACTATAACGGTCCTCGTGAAGCAGCTGGTATTGTATCCTACTTGAAGAAACAAGTGGGTCCTGCATCTGCTGAAATCAAGTCGAAGGAAGATGCCACAAACCTTATTGATGAGAAAAGTATCTTTGTTGTAAGTGGTGATACTTTTGATGTTTTACTTATCATTACTGAAGTTTATTTTCAGCATGCCATAGCTTCTTGCTGTCTAAAATCTTTCTGTTTCTTTAGGTTGGTATATTTCCAGACCCCTCCGGAGAGAAATTCGAGAACTATTTAACGCTAGCTGAAAAACTGCGAGGCGAGTTCGATTTTGCTCACACTGTTGATGCTAAACACCTCCCTCGGGGTGGACCAGTCAACAAGCCCACTCTTCGTCTTCTAAAGCCATTTGATGAACTCTTTGTTGATTTTGAGGTATTACAGTTATCTGTGTATATTTTTATCTTTGATACTCATTGTATTATGGTTATGAGGCTCAACTCTGTCCTATGTTATCTTTTAATTGGCCATTGATTGTACATACTTGCAGGACTTTGATGTCGATGCAATGGAGAAGTTCATCTCAGAATCTAGTATTCCTGTTGTTACTATTTTTGACAATGACCCAAACAACCATCCTTATGTTAACAAGTTCTTCGAAGGCACCAACGCCAAGGTACTTGATTCTGCGAGCTGTAATGCTTCAATTTGACCTTATATTTCAACGTCAAGCAATTCTAGGATCTTCTCATGAATTTTACAGTTATATGCTTGTACTTGTATTATTTTCTTTTCATTCACTAATATTTGACAATTAACTTCAAAGTTCTAAGAGATTGATTTGTTTTTTTGACATTTGCAAATCTACAGGCATTGCTATTTGTGAACTTTAGCTCTGAATTTGATGCTTTTAAGTCCAAGTACAACGATGTTGCTGTGATTTACAAAGGGGATGGGGTGAGCTTTCTCTTGGGTGATGTTGAGGCTGGTCAAGGTGCTTTTGAGGTTGGTTAAAATTTTCAACTATCTGATTACAGTGTCATTGTATCCATGATCACGTAAAAAGGCGCGTTGAACATTCGTTTTATTTGGAATTGCAGTACTTCGGACTGAAGCCGGAACAGGCACCTGTGATCATCATAATGGACGCTGATGAACAAAAGTATATTAAGGACCATGTGGAACCTGATGCCATTGCTGCTTACTTGAAGGATTACAAGGTGATGCATCCTCTTCTTTTTCTTGGATATATTTTGGAATGAAAGCGTTGTTAATTGTGAACAATATTCTGCACGGAAGGAAAGGCTTACTAACCTTTTTCCTCTAATTTTCCACATTGTTACAGGAAGGAAAACTGAAGCCACATGTGAAGTCAGAGCCCATCCCTGAAGTCAATGACGAACCTGTTAAGGTGGTTGTTAGGGATACCCTCCAGGATATGGTTTACAAATCGGGAAAAAATGGTGCGTGTCTGTCAATATTTTAATCTTTATTCGATGTCTTGGTTAAGAAAGAGTTGTTTCTTTGTTGTACCATTTCGTTCTCCCTCTTTGGTGTTTACTTGCATTTCTTTACTAGTGTGTAAGGTCGTGATGAGGAGTTGGATGTCGTAAATTAACTGATTGTGGAACTATTATACGTAGTAGGAGAAAGAGGGAGCAGTCATCAGCTAATTGCCCGCGGGTTTGACTTTAACAATAGTTGTGCTCTCCTAAATTATTATTCTTTTTGTCTGCTCAGTGCTGTTAGAGTTCTATGCACCTTGGTGTGGCCACTGCAAGAGTCTGGCTCCAATTTTGGATGAAGTGGCTGTATCATTTGAAAGCGATCCTGATGTTCTCATTGCAAAACTGGTAAGAACTTTTTTCATAAACTAAACATGGATATTTGATGCATGTATCTACTTCATCCTTTGTTACATTAAGTAACGGCATAATAATCAAGAAAGAATGTGTAGAATTAGAATCGGGTTTTTAGTATAAAAATCAGAAAGAACGGGGTGGACATTTTATCTTTGATGTTATGGATTTCGTTGTTAGAGAGATTTTTAGTAGAAAACATCTGTAAAGTGTATCAAAAAAGAAGGTTTGTATGGCTTAAACACGATTAGCAGTTGTAATGCACAGGACATGTATTTGTTGTCATTTCCTCTCACCTGCTTCCTCATTTACAGGACGCAACCGCAAATGATCTCCCGAAAGGTGACTTTGATGTTCAGGGATTCCCTACTATGTACTTCAGATCCGCCTCTGGTAACTTGTCACAGTACAATGGTGAGAGAACAAAAGAGGCTATCATCGAATTCATCGAGAAGAATCGTGGCAAGCCTGCTCAGTCAGACTCTGCCAAAGTCGATTCAGCAAAGGATGAACTTTAGAGGTTTGGTTCTCTTCCTTAAAGCATCAATTGTGATATCTGCCATTATTGGTTCTTTGTGCTACAGTAATTGTAATTTATATTGATCTCCTCTTATTCAGGACTCTAGGAACATTGTGTACTGGTGGATTCAAGTTTTGTTGGAAGCATTGTGTTTCTGGTGAATTCGACCTCCCACCGGACTACTGCTCTCTCCCAACGCTTCCGTTGTAGTTTTTGGAGCTTTTCAGCGCCAATAAAACGGTTGTATGTATCCATTTTGTGTATCGAATGTAGCTGGATTATGAGTTTATATTATATCTATTGAGAAGTTCTCCAACTTTATAGTATCAGCAGTTGAAGTTATCTTCTTTGTCCCAGAATGCTACTGTTGGAATGTATGCCTCCTGTTGCAGTAAATAATGATACACAATAATTAAAGAAGTTCAAATATATCTCTAAACTTTGCTAGAATTAAGGATCATACATATTCCTACATAAAATTTATTTAAAACTTACAAACATTAAAATAATTTTTCACTAATTAGATAAAAACGGATATATATGAGTCATCTTTACAATGATTGAAACATTTACGAGCTACTTTTGCACTGCTCTAGATGATAAAGTCGAGTTGACTAATGATAGAAACATTTACGAGCTACTTTTATAGCACTGATATGTGAGCTCTAGATGATAAAATTGAGTTGACTAATTTTATAGCACTGATATGTGAGCTCTAGATGATAAAATTGAGTTGACTAATGACGGAGGAAACACATGTGTTTGACTTTGGACCACTCTAACCTCACTAATAATTTTGCTAAGCACTAGTTCATTGTCCTTAATTTATATTCACCTGAGTAATTAATCCATTTTTTAAAGTTCATTTTTTTGTTGCTTATTTTGCTTTGAGAACCAAGAAATAAAAGTTTGGGAGGAAGTTGTGTTATAGAATATGATTTTATAACTCACTAGAATAATATAGTATTGGAAACACTACTTCCTCAATGAAATAGTGAGATTTTTCGTCCGAAAATATTACTAATTTTTTTCTTTGCTGAGCACATTCAATCAAAATATGGAATAGTCATGAACCTTTTTCAATGAGAAATACCTATAGTATGTCTCTTTTTTAAGTCCGTTTATAAATAGGAATTATATTATTTTGGGTTTTAATAGGTTTGTTTAGTGATCCTTCACAACCACCGTACCATGGCCGATATGTTGCCGGAATGTGTCATTTAAAAAAGTATTTGATTTTCTTAGTAATAAAGAAGCATCCAAGATGAACATTGTGTTCATCTTCATAGTGTCAAATGCAAATATAAAGATAGTGGACATAATCATGGAGAGATATGTATAGGGATGGAAAAGTCCCTATAGAAAAGTTTGAATTATGAAAGATGATCATCAAAATGGTGTAGAACATCTTGTCGTTTACGGTCCCTACCTATTTTAACAATCTTGACAGCAAAAGAAAATTGGTTATCGCGTATTTGTACTGTTTCGTTAGCCAGTGGTGTTGTGAATCAAAATTTTCATCCGATACTCCAAATTTGGTGTCATTTGATCAGCAAATTAGAGAGCTTATTTTATACTAGATTGGTGCAATTAAGTAGTCTCTATTTCAATTTCAATGCACTTATTCGTGATACATAACTTGCTCAAATAAAACAAGAGAGAAAAGGATGCAAATATCACATCTATGCTCGAACATGAATACAAGATTAAGTAGGTTCAAATCCAAAGATCACAATTCACAGCTACAAGATGAAGAACAAAAGTTTGTTCAAATACAAGTATTTATAAAACCTTGGTCAAAAAAATAAAACCTTCGAATCCAAAGAATAGGACAAGCTTTGCAGAAGCCACAAAGTTGGTTACTTTTCAACACACTCCAGCAGCTTCACTGACTTCTTCGGAGACATGGTAGAGTACGCATGTGATCACTTTCTGCAACTCCAAAATTTCGTCCAACATGTGCTCCATATCTGAACTATTTGGCTCAAGGCGACCATTGACACATAGGACAAGCATGGTTTTGTCCGACTCCACAATCAATCTTTTTGCTTTCGGCTCTCCTTCTATGCATTTTCCCAGCCCACGTAACAACGCCTCAAGTTCAACAAGCACGTCATCTTCTTGGACATCAGAAACACCTGAGTAACTGCCTAAACAAAGACCTTCTGCATCTCGGAAGACACCGCTAAACTTACCTGGCTGCTTCTCCTTTCTGCTAGTGCCGTGTATGTTAAGTTTAATCCAACCAGAAGATAGAGCGACAGAATGACACCTAACGTGATGGGGCATGCGGTAATGACCCACAACTTCTTTAACCCAATCACTGATCTTATCATTCTCCATACCGCAGCTCAACAATCTCGTTTCAACATACCTGCAAAGACGAATAGTTAAAATTACATGTTAGAATAAAAGACGAAAATCAGAAGTTTTAAGTATTTACCTTTGCATATCGAAGGAATAATACCCCGGCTGGCCAATTTCTGTATCAAAGTTTGCATCCACGCCAAAGAAATGCCACGCAACTTGTGGAAATTGCTCATCTATTTCCTCTTGAGTAATTTTTATGTCGAATTCTGTTGTGAAACTTAAAATCTTCTGTAATCGGATCATTGCTTCATGATTATTCAACAGATCGTGGGACACTTGTTTGAATTCTTCGTGAAGTGAGCATGTCAACAGTATGATATGGCTAAGACAAAGCGAAGACCAGTTTGCTCCCAATAAATTTCCAATAAGAAAATGGGACGGATACGGCATGTAGAACATAGTTGGTCTCTGAGCTTTCCTCTTACAATCTTCGTTATACTCTAGAACCGTAAGACCTAGTTCATAGCAAGCCGATTTATCAAGCTCAGACATGACTGGATCATATATTTCCAGATTGCCAATCCACTCAACGTTTTCTTTCAGATGCAGAATTAGAGCCAGTTGAATCTTTGGACTCAAATCATATTCAACACTTCCCAGGCAGTATATTACCACTGGAACTTGCGTATCTGAGCCTAAAACTTTTTCGAATCGTTCCTTCATGATCTTATTCTCATTGAGATCATATAGCATTCTAATGTAAAACTGAGACATCTTGACATACCGCTTCAGCTCTTTGATCCTGTCAACCAGTGCTCCTACATTTCCATTTGCTGACTCATTAATCTCATCGGTTGGAGTATCAAGCTCATACCTGATACAATTATCAAACGAACGAGCATTTAAATCAGCCACATTAGTAAAGCATGACATAATTAATGGAAAGTAATTACACATACAAATACCTTTTCCTAAGATCACTACAATGTTCCAGCTTCTCAACGTCGATGTCAGTGATGGTATCCACCTCAAAGAAATGCCAGGAATATCCTTTAAACGAATCACTAGTCTGCTCAGACCAAGTTTTTATTCTAACCTCTGTTGTGAATTTAAGAATTCTCTCTAACCGTATCTTTGTTTCAAGGTTATTCCGATTTGTAAGTTTCATATAATTGAATGTTTTTTCTAATGAGTATGCCATCCAAATACTTTCATTTAGACAAGCAGGGGACCAGTTTGCTCTCAAAAGATTGCCAATAAAATCATAATCAAGATCAGTTATGTAGAATATCGTTGGTCTTTGGGCTTTCATCCTACTATGGTCATTCATGCTAAAAACCTTGAGATTTAGCTTCTCAAAAGCTGCAATGTCAGCTGAAGAAATGAGACTGTTGCATATTTCAATGTCACCAATTAATTGGGGAAAATCCTGTCTTAGTTGGAGAACTACAGCTAGATAAAATTGTGAATCAAAATTGTATTCTGTACTGTCCAAACCATATATGTCCACCTGAAACTTTAAAGGAGAATGTGAAAAGCGATTAACATACTTCTCCGTTTGGAAGCTGTTTTTCATTACGTGGTAGAAATTAGAACTCTCAACATTATTCATTGTCGAGGTAATCTCGTCAAAATTTTTTTGAGACTCATCTTTAACTCCATTCTCCAAAGTCTCACCAAATATCATGTTGATCAACAATGTTGGCTTCTAGAACACTCTAATCTGCAAGTGTAGATTCAAGTTGTAAAATTTAAGAGTGTGTTGCAGTCTACAAATTCCTAAAGAAGTATACTATACACGAACAAACTCTCAAAACCCCATCAAAGAATTAGCAAATCAGAAACCTAAGCAATGGCCGAAATATTGATTTCGTTGAAAACCACGATTAAGACACGACTTGAGATTGTATATAATTCAGAGATGACCAAGAAATTGAAAACCCAACCAATCACCTCCCTTCATATACATTAATTAGCCAATATCTTAGATCAACAACAATAACCCACATCAAACAATAATAACCCACCATCTTCATCAAACAATGATTAAGATCAACAATCATAAACCATCAGTATTTACGAGCTCAGATTCAGTTTTACAACCTACAACACCAGCAGCAACAACAAACCAGAGGTTGTTTCCGGTATACCCATGCATAAACAATGTATTTGCAGTGATATCTTCTAAAATCAATTTCGGCAACTGATCGAAGTACAACACTTAACGAACTCAAAATTCCTAATCTGAAATGCAAATTTTATAATGTTGAGAAGTTATAAGATAATGTAAAAGCATAAACCATCGGTATTTATGAGCTCAGATTCAGTTTTACAACCTACAACACCTGCAGCAACAACAAACCAGAAGTTTTTTCCGGTAGACCCATGCATAAACAATGTATTTGCAATTGATCAAAGTACAAACACTAACGGAAATTGATACTCTAATGAATATACTTACCGCAACAATATCGATGGAGAAAAGCTTGAAAATAGTATTGTTGAAATTGTGCCGAGAAAGCTTTCTACTCTAGAAGAATCAAATAGCAAAAAATATCTGATATCAACACTAGTACATTATTATATAGGACTTTAGTATTTTCTCTCTGATTTCTTCTGTGCCAAGAATGGCAACGTAAAAAGAACTTCCAATTTGTACAGGTGGCCTAATTCTATTGCTAAATGAAAGCTTCTTCAAAATTCTAGTTAATGATTGAAATGTAAAAAAAACTGGAGTACTATATCTATTATGACTAATTCAGTTGTATGTTTACTGCTAACCATTATTATTATCACTAAGCTAGTACTAATTAAGTTTAGTTGTAGTGCTCAATTATACACACGTATGGACTGAACACACTCAATTTTTATTATTAGTGATTAACTAAAATTTACACGCTCGGTATGGACTCAACACAAAATCCATCATCGTTATATATAATTGACTCTAAAGTTGATAGAGTTTGTGGTTAAGATAGACAGTGGAACTCACTCGTGCTTCTTCTTTCCGGTAGGGGTATCAAATGGATGAATTGGGTTAAAATTATTTAATACGGGACGTAGGCTTTTGTACGCTACAAGTAATTAATGCAATGTTTTTTATATTCACTAATTAATATATATATATATATATATATATATATATATATATCAAATATAAGCAAAATCTAATGGGTGGTTTCTAATTACAAGTATTAAGTATTATATTGCATTGTACAGCTCAACTCACATAGTTAGTTATAGAATTAGTTAGAGAGTTAGTTATCACATGTATTCAATGTGTATAGTTAGTTAGCTCAAAGTGTAATAGTCTAGAAGCTTCCAATTAATCAGTATATATACTTTACTGATGAAATAGAATCGTTCAAGCTTTGCATTCTACAAGTTGTCTTCTCTACTCTAATTCTTTACTAGTTGTAATCAAAGCTTCCATTATTTCAAAGCTTGAACAGAGTATGAATCTTTAATAACAAGTATGGATTAACATAAAAAAAATTTTATTATTAATTTACTACTAAAATTTACAACACAAATTTTGATCGTTATAGTTAAAGCGCAAGATGCATGATATAGATAATGGTTAAGCTGAATAGTGGAAGTGATATAATTTGTTGTAAGCGGAGAGAGAGGGTGATTTGTTTTTAGTATATATATTTCTTAATTCGTTTTTCCATTATGGGTCAAATATGTATATTCATATTCAACCTATTTTGATCATATTTGTAGAGATCGTTAAAATAGTTTGAAGCTCATATTTGACAATTAAAATAGGAGTGATCCAAACCAATGGACTCATTTTATTAATATAAGCTGTGATTGACAGCTCTATGTTGGAATGTATGCGACTACTAATATTGATGGGATCAGGTTCTCAATACAATAAAGTCAAACAGTAATGAACAAATAAAGAAACGTAAAGATTGACAAACAATTTTACGTGAAACCTCCTTACTCAAGGGAGGAAAACCACGACCTGTTCTCAACAGGACTTTTCAAAACCACTTTCACTAATCTTCAACAAGCAAAAGTAAAAGTCGGTTACAACAAGAGATTAGCCTGTTAATCTCCCCACTAGGTAATACTCCCTATCACTTAGCTGACCTGAGCAAATACAACACTGTTCTCTATACTAATCCTATCCGATTAATATAGACTTAGAGTAAGAACCTAAGTTACCCTCAACCTAGCCCTTACAATGATTCACCAAGTTTGAAACGTTTCTTCACAATTGAAATGAATCCTACAATGTAAGAACAATTACAAGCAACTTCATACAACAAATACAAAAAAGCAATAAATGCACTTCTATCAATTCCTTTTGTTGTTCTTGAAGCTTGAAAATTTCTCTCTTGAATGGATGAAACTTGTTTTTTATATATACCATAAAGAGTCATTTCCCATCAAACAAAAAACCTAGTCCACATCTCAAGTTGATGAAAGCCGAAGGAAAGCCATTAAAGATGCCAAAGAATTTCAGCAACTTGTTGGTAGTTTAATTTATTGAACTATCACATGAAGACCGGAGATTTCTTATTCTGCTGAAATTGTCTCTCAGTTTATGCAATGTCCAAGAAGCTCACATCTAGATGCAGGAACGCGAATCCTTCGTTATGCGAAGAGTTCACTAGATTATGGTCTTATGTATAGAAGACATGAGAAATTCATGTTAAATGGATTCACTAAAGTAGATTGGGTTGGAGATACAACTGAAAGACATTCAACTTCTAGATATTGTTTCATTACTGGTTTAGTTATGATTTCTTGGTACAGCAAGAAACAACCAGTGGTAAATTATTTAGCACTGAAGTTGAGTACGTAGCTGCGACTATGGTTGCATAAGATGTATGTTGTTAAAGAGATGAATAGGAGAGATGATGTGCAAAGTTGATCATGTTGTTTAAATTAGATGTGATAATGAAAGTGCTATATGTAATGACCCTTATTGTCATTTTTAGTGTTTTATCTTCTGTACATCGTTTAGAACGTTCCTATAGCGATTCCAAGTCATTTATGACTTGCTGGGACTGACAGATCGGTCACCTGGTCATTCGTTTGGTTATTGTGTGACTTTTAGTATTTTTGGAGCTTATGAACCTTGAACGATCATTCTCGATCAAAAGTTCAAGAAGATGACATCAGAATCCAATTCTGACGATTCCATCAGTTCCGGAAGGGTCATTTTAGTCTAGTAGCATTGTCGACATGACTCCCAAAGTTTTCAGTGTGAGTTGGTGGGATTAGGCGTTTTAACTTTAAGTTTAAAGGCTAAGTTTGACTTTAGTCAACATTCTGAGTAAACGCGCTCGGATGAGAATTCCGTCAGCGCGGTTAGCTCCGGAATGTCGAGTTTGGTCTAGTTTGACCCTTCTTTCGGGTTTTGAGGTTTTTGATATTTTTTCAAGCCCTTTTGTGGTTTTTGACTTAAAATGGCCAATGGAAGTGGGACCCACATTTTATCGAGATGACCTCTGATGAAAATTTCGACTGCGCCTTTGAGTCCGGAATGTCGACTTTGGTAGGGTAGCATATCTATTTTATTTTTATCAGGTTCCAAACGAATTCCGAGCACCCGTCGGAGACTTTAAAGAAAGTAGACAAAGCTGAATCTGGTGCAGCCCTTATAAAAACCCAACTTTCAGCTTTGTATCTTACTTTAGAATCTTGATATCTTGAGCTATACAACTCCAAATTGGGCGATTCAAAAGGCTAAGTTGTGAGATTTTTCGAGGGCAACACATTGGTGAGCTTGGAATCTGATTTGGGGACCCGATTTGAGGTAAATTTTGGGTTTTAACTGCTGTCTAGCTCATTTTCGAGCACAAGTTTTGGGAAATTTTAGAAGGTGATTTCTTGGCCATTTTAGGTCCGAATCAAGTGATTCAAGAGCCTATATTGTGTGGTTTTTCGTGAGGATCGTCGTGGTGTGGTTGGTTTTGGCTGTTGGAGCTTCATTTTTGGTAAAATCTTGTAAGTAGCTGCTGCCATAGTTGCTGATTTTTAGCTTAGAATTTGGGTTCTTTTGTTGCATGTTCATGTTGGGACTGTTTTGAGTCCTGAATTATGCTCCATTATGGTATACAAGTTTCGAGAGTTATTTAGGACTTTTATTTGGGGTTAATTCGGGATTTTTCAACGCGGATCCCACTTTTTCCATTTTGACCATGAAATTGACCCGTCTCCGTTTCTTGCGATTTTAGTGTATCAACGTTTCGAGGCCTTTTAGAAAGTAAAAGATCCGGGGAGTGAATTTTGGAGCGCGCGTGATCTGCGTTCAGGTAGGCTATGGTTTCTCTTCTTAGATTGAACTCGAACATGTGAATGCATGTTGATTAGTTGGGATTTGGGTTGGGTAGTTATTGGATCATGCATAGGTGTTACAAATCATATTTTCGCCTTTTTTCTGAGAATTATCGGGTAACTGTGAGCATGTTTATTGTTATTAATTGACCTTCTTTGCTATATGAATTACTTGTATGTTTGAATACTGGTTGTCAGAAGTATGTTGGGCCTTAGTTTAGGTTTGACTAGGGTTTTCCTTAGAAATGCATGATTCAAAGTCGGTAGGACTTAGTTTAGCCCCGACGTCGCTCGGCCGACTTAAATCCTTGTAGACTAATGTAGCAGACTTGAGTCTGATAGTTGGGTATTTAGAAAGACGATGAGCTTGCTCTAGCGATTGTTACTCTTATTTCTTCGATGTTACGGCTTCTCGAGTTACGTCAGTGACAATGATTTCCGCTCCATGATTCAAAGTTGAGTTTCTATTCGACTTTAAGGTCTTACATTGATTAGCTAAGTCTGGATGGTGTTCCATGGGTTTATATGATTACGGATAGATAAAGACTCTTTCAGCAGCTATATCGACATCTTTGTTGGGTATCCGGATTTAAGGTCCGGCCTCGAACATCCACATACTTATGTAGAGCATCCGGTTAGAGGTCCGGCCTCAAGTATGTAGAGCATCCGGTTAGAGGTCCGGCCTCAGTTACTTATATTTTGCAATTGGCTACTTGTGTAATTCTGGTGAGTGTTCGGTTCAAGGCCCGACCTCCGTACCGTCAGATTTTACTTTTTGGTTCGGTGTTCTTCGGCCTCGAGTTTTATTCTCCTTAAGTTATAGTTATTTTGTGTACTCGTCGGGCTTATGGGGGTCCGTTCGGGTTTTTATTTAAACTTGTGCACGAGTGTACCTTCTGGGCTTATGGTGGGTCCAGTTAGGTGTAGTTAGCTTATTTATATTAATTTAGTTAGATTTTTATACACTCGTGTGCATTATTGTGTTACTTAGCCTTTTGTTCTTGACCTCTAGTTTTGTGATTCCGTCTTTTCATAGTGCTTTACTTTTCTAGTTTAGTCGGCCTATGATGCCTACTGGGTATCTGTTTTTTTTGGTACTCATGCTACACGCTGCATCTATTTTCGTGATGCAGGTCCGAGCACCGGTAGTCAGCGTTGATCGAGTTTGGAGAATTTCTGGTCTGGAGACAGGGGTGAGCACACAACGTTTTGTACTATTTCAGTCTCCATCTGTTTATATAAAGATTTGTCTTTTACTTTTCGAGACAGTCTAGTTTCGGTGGTCCACTGTTGGGACTTGTACTCGTTTTGTTGGTAGCTCTGTATTAGTGACTTCCAGGTTCTGGGAGGGATCCTTTATTGTATTTATGTTTTGGTTTGCTTATGTTGTTATAATAATTTTTCTTAGTCTTGTTTAGTTTCTACCCTCACACCCAGTATGTGTGGTTCTGGGTTGTGGTTTGGCTTACCTACTGATGGGTTATAGTAGGTGCCTTCATGGCTCGAGAAATTGGGTCGTAACACTATCAAGCTTGCATCAAATCTAATTTTTCATGGTAGGACAAAGCACGTAGAAGTTCGTCATCATTACATTTGAGAGAAAGTGCTGGAACAAAAAGTTATTCTGAAAGGAATTTCTACAAAAGGCAAGTCGCAGACATATTTACAAAAAGCAAGTCGCAGACCTATTTATGTAATAATTTCAATTTCTTTTATATACATATATATTATTATATATATTTATCATATCATATATTATTATGTAAGGGAACCAAAAAAGTTAAAAGTTGAATTACGATTTTATCTTTATTATAAATTAAAATGTTTTAAAAATATTTAAGTATTTAATTTAAATATTAAGTTACATTATCTTAATAAAAATGGTAATGACTTTTGCACTTCTTTAGAATAATTCTTAATTAAAATATCTAATTTAATTTATTTTCTTGAAATTATTTGCCCTTTAAGTAGATACATGTATATCGTTTATCTTCTAAATTAATTATGTTCTTAATTAATATTTGTCTTTAATTTTTGTAACACTCGACCTTTCAACTTTGTAAGTGAATCTTCATATTCCAAAGCCATATCTTTTCCTATAAATACAAATCTTTTAACATTATTTTTATAGAAAGATTTATATGTGATACAAGTTTTTTGTGTGGAAGACTACAGAAGCTTTAATCAAGTGAAGAAAATTTCAAGGCAAGAGGATTTGTGTCAAGATTACAAGGCATAATGTGATTGATTATAGGAATGAATGTAAAATTACTAAAATATCGAAGCCTGATGTATTTATTTTTTTTTACTTATTTGTCGAGATCAGAAATTAGGTAAGACCCTTCCATTTATGTAGTTGAATATCACTTCCATTAACTTGTCTTCCAAATATTTTAACTTTTTTTTATGGTCAAAAGTTGAATGTTTATTAGTATAACTTTGTTTCAATTTGCATTATCAATAAAAACAGGGAAAAAATTGTCTTTGAATTTTTCTATTTTTCATTGGTTGCCTTATGCTAAACTTGCTCCTATATATGATACTTTTTCTTTTTATTTGTAATTTTATTTTAAGAATATATTTGATTGAAGGGTGTATTTTTTTGCTTTAGAAAATGAGACAAATACAATCATAAAAATAGTGTATAAGGCATGCAAAACAATAATGCCTACAAGATATTCTAATTTCAAATTATTAATAATTACATTTTTTCATTTTAAATTTTAAATATTTGTAAAGAATCATTCTTACATGTGCTTGTGGATAAAATGTATAATTTTTAGACAATTTTCATTAAAATTATCATGAGATCCAAATCCCTAAGTCTAAAAAATGATAGACCAAAATGCTTACAAAGTTAGAAGATCTTTTATCCTTTGACCAAATATTGCTCCTATTAATTTTTTAACAAAAAAATGTAAAATATATTTTAACAATCTTTTAATTGTAAGAATACTAATATTGTCATTTTGGCACTCTATTAAATTAAAATCTGTTTTATTAAATTAAATATTAATATTTTATTTATATAGTTACATAATTTAAATACCAATCGTTGCACTTTAAACCTTAGTTATTTCCTTCTGATAAGTTTTTTATTTATAAATTTGAATTACTTAATTGCATTCTACTTAATGAGAAGGAGAATTTCATCTTTTACTAATTAATGTCAAATATTTTATCTTCTTGAAATGTATAATTATTAACATATACAAGATAAATAATTTTTCATTACAATATGTATTTATCTTTAAATTAGAGTACTATATATATGTTAGAAAAGTATTATGGAATTTGCAAGAATTTCTAATCTCAACTTATGAGCTTGTTATTTTTATTTTCTATTGTATTTGATTTTTTTTTTCGTTGCACATAAGAAGTCTATAGTAATATATATATATATATATATATATATATATATATATATATATATATATATATATATATATATATATGTCATTTAAATTTTATCATTTGTCATAGAAGAATTGTTTTAAGTATTTTGAGATAAACGTGTGATGCACGTCTCCAGAGACTAGTTTTATTATAAATACGGAGGTTTTATCACACATATTATAATAAAATGAAAAAAAAACATATGTTGAGTTATATTTTATATTGAAAATAAATATCGAAAGAAGATCCTATACAATCTTTAGATGATCAGTAGACTTAATTGCTGAAATAAATGTTTGTTTTATTTTTGAAAATTGTATTTAAATTTACAAGTAATAGAGACAGATTATGACTCTACAAAGTAACTCACATCTTTCGGTTTTTTTGTAAAAGAAATACACAGTTTTAATTCTGATATTCCAATTTCAGTTTTCTTTTTTGAATTAAATAATTCTACTTTTTCTAAAAATATACACGTGTGTAGTTTTTAAAAACTGCTTTCATGTTTATTTATTTTATTTTATGCATGATAGTGCATTAGAGAAACTTGTTTTTTGAGAAAAGCCATACAGACACCATCAAAGTTGTTCCGTATTTGCATAAAGACACACTAACTTTTAAAGTGTCCTATTACCCCACAGAACTAATTAATTTCTTTGTAAATGGGCCATTTTGACCCATTTTCTCGTCTATGTAGTGGCGCGTGTTGCTCAACTCCCTATTCAACCCGACCCTTCAGCTATGGAGTTAGGTGACAACAAAATTTTGAATGTGGGATTGCTATTAGTTGCGACCCTTTTGGTAGTAAAACTCAGACCTAAATAACTCACACATTTATGCTAACTCAGAACAAAATCCATGCGTAACACTTTCTTGCACATTGCAAGAAAAGTTAATGCAGATCCAATTGACAACAGTTCCTCCATTAACCATTTTCTTGTTCATCATGTTCCATTAGCCAACTTGTGGCAGACAATCTTTTTCTCAGCCATTATGGCCAGTTGTGATGCTTAGACAGGAGCATCCATAGCTTGGGAGTGTTTACTTTGAATTTATTGAACAATAAAATCACATTCTTCATTGATCCAGATGTTTCTCGCCAATAGTGGTGTCTTATTTTCTTAGAGAAGATGATGAAGTGGTCAAACAAAGAGTATCAACATTGATTTTGCTATGGAAAAAACTATGAAATTGAAAAATTAGGGCTAACAATGATTATTTTGGGTTTAAATTTGGGGAAGATGACAAAATTGATAAAATAATTTATAATAAAGAAAAATAATGACACATGGCACCTTTAAACTGGTCCATGGCAGTAAAAATAATGCATGACACGCCTCAAGTGCGTGGTAACAACTCGGACTAGGAAATGGGTCAAAATGGTCCATTTACAAAGAAATCAAATAGTTCTGTGGGGTGATAGGACATTTTAAAAGTTAAGATGTCTTAATGTAAATATAGGACAACTTTGATGGTGTCTTTATGTCTTTTCTCTTGTTTTTTTGACATAAAGTTGTCTGTTTATAGCATGGTCTCAATCGAAATCTGGAGAATGTAATGTGTATGTAATTCTTGTTTTCGCAAAAATTAGTTTTAATTACATTGTCTCTTTTACATTTTCTTCTTATGAAATTTTAATATATAATATAATGAAAAAATATTTTTAATGTAAACTATTTTAATTAATAAAATAGTGATATATTATTTTAAAATTGCATGTATTTAAAATTCGATGTTTTCAAGAAAGTGATGTTCATATTTTTCGTTTCTTTTGTTTTGTGTTTAGTTATATTTTTATTATATTTTAAAAATTCTAAAAACAGTCACTTGTTTTGTTTGAATTTTTGAATAATTTAAATAATAAAAAATCGAGATTAATTAATATATATATATATATATATATATATATATATATATATATATTGAATATTGATATTTTATATATTTTTTGGTATTGATATTTTTTTTTTATGATATAGATATGGAATATTTTGGCTTTTTAGGAAAATCTACATAGTTTTGTTTTTTTTAAGTTCGTTTACAAATAGGATTCTTATAACATAATATTATATTATTTTGGCTTTAAGGGAAACCTAAAACAGGTTTATTTTTTAAGTCAGTTTATAAATAGGATTCCTATAATGTAGGGCAAATTTATGGTAAAATTATCATTTGTTCCTTATAAGTTTATAATGATAAAGATCCTTCAAATGATGTAATAATATCAGACCTGATATGCACGAGATATATTAATTGTTAAGTAATAAACATTACATTTGATACGCGAGATACATTAATTTGATGACTAATCTAATATATGAAATAATAAATTTTGAAAATTTATAAAACTAATAGGGTGTAATGATAATAAAAGAACTTAAAGTTGGGCTGATTTTGGGTTTAAAATAGGCTTATAAATTTCCCTTGAGTATTAGGGTTGTAATCCGATCCTTCACAACCATGGCTGACCTATTGCCGGAATGTCTGGTTCAAAAAATACTCTGTTTTCTTACATATAAACGATCATCGAAGATGAGTATTGTCTCCAAAACATGGCTTGAAGCATGGTCGACTCTTCCCAACTTGGAATTGTATCTTGATCGTGGTAAGAGCAATATAAAGATGATCGACACAATCATGGAGAGATATAGGGACAGAAAAATCCCTATAAAAAAGTTGAGATTATCAGAGAGCATCATTTATGATCGTTGCAGAGTTTCACCTCCTATTCCTATTGATAACTGTCTTGACATTGCACTTCAAAGTGGTTTACAACATCTTGTCCTTAATAGCATATCATACCCCCTGCCTATTTCAACAATCTTGACAGCAAAATCTTTAAGAAAACTAGATATCATGGATTGCACTCTTTCGTTAGCCAATGGTGTTGTGAATCAAAATTCTTTGACAGAGCTTTCTATAGGTCATGTAGAATTAGACAAAAACATATTCGAGACTCTACTCAATAGTTGTCCCTTGATTGAGACTTTTACGTTTGAGGGTTGTAAACGGTTTGACGTTTCTTATCTTCGAAAGATCAAGTCAGTGAACCTTAAGGTGTTGAAGATTGAGGCTGGTTCGGCCATGTGGGAGATTGATGCTCCAAATTTGGTGTCATTTGAGTACAAGGGGCTGAAAATTCCTGAATTTAAAACTGCAAGACAGCTGGAGAAGTCGAAAATCGTTTTTTACAGCTCAGATTATAGATATGGTGACTGGTTTGGTAAGTTGAGGAAGTTTCTATCAAAGTCGACAGGGTCCTGTTGGTCTCAAGTTACCATTCGTTCTCGAAAATGCAATGAGATTGAAATGGAACAACACAACAGAGTTGGTGCTATCGCCCTGGTGAATGTTTTAGAAGTGGAAGTTGTATTTCAGGATATGGATTGCTCTTCGTTTGTGAATGCTTTGTTATGGAGTTGTCGTCCTAAGAGACTCAACCTGCAACCAAGACTAACTCTGTTTACAGCTTTCAGTGATCGTTTGATGTATATGAAGAATACGACAATGCATAGTCGATTAAAACAAGTACAAGCTTTTGATGAAAATAATCAGTTGCTGCAACTCGGAAGTGAGCAACTTACAGAAAGTGTCCTGCCCTCATGGGGGAGCAAGAGGAGGAATTGGGCCGAGAGGGCTTATTTTATACTAGATTGGTGCAGTTAAGTAGTCTCTATTTCAATTTCATTTCCAAACGTTGTTTCGTATTTTATGCCTTTTTATCAATAATTCATAATGTAGGAAATTATTTCATTCCTTTTTACTAGAGACACATCTTTTTGACTTGCACTCTTCTTTGTGTTTCTCAATCTTAACACGGCAAATCCAACAGCCAACGAGAAGAGTGATCCAGTCCCTAATAGAATATATAGACCTGTAAGCACTTTTTTTCTTCTCGACTTCTTTGTAAGACTAATGCGCCTAGACTCTTTAAATGACAGATAACATCTGGTATGGTTCCTTCTATCTTGTTGTTAAATAAATAAACTTCTTGAAGCATCGACATGTCATGTACAGTATTTGGAATACGTCCTTGTAAGACAGATTCATGGTTGTCATTCCAGTAAGATAACTAATTTCTACTCGGAATGACATCCTTCAGTTTACAACCTTGTACTTCAAAAGTTTACAAGGCGTTGGAGAAATTACCAACAGATCCATTAAGCTGATTAAATTGCAGGTCTAGGACAGTCAAGTAACGAAGATCACTGATTTCTCGAGGGATCTCTCCTTCAAGAAAATTGTTCTGTAATTGCAACACTTCCAGTTTTGTTAGATTGGAAAGGGAAGTTGGAATTTTCCCCGAAAATTGGTTATTCGATAGGTACAAAAAGTGTAGGTTTGGTAACAAACTTAAAAACGATGGAATGCCTTTTTTTTTTCTGAATGAAATGACAAATTCATATAATGAATTGAAACGACAACTGAAGTAATGCTCAAACGTCTATAGATTATTTAGTAAAAGCAAACAATAAAAAGGGGGCAATGTCTAAACAGAGCAACCTATGAACTCTTTAGTGCAATTGGAAAAGCTTCATGATCACCACGGTGCATCAGCCTCGAATGTGAGTGCAACGCTCGCTGCAGGCCCTTCACTCAACTGTCGACCATATCCACTCGAGGGAGCTGACGGTCCCCACGCCACACCTGAGCTTTGGATTTGGCTCATTTCACGGCGTCCGTTCAAATTTCTTCCCTTGCAAAATGCTGGCAAATACACCCCTGTTCACAATATATGATAAGTTTTTGACACATAAAAATCCATAGCTTAATTACTAAAAATAGACGATTTACCTTATACACACCGACACTGTCATTTCATCAAGTTACAATTACTACTTACAAATGACACGATTTTGTAATAAGGGCTCCTTTTATATTTGGCCCGCTAAAAAATCATTCTTTTAGTTGACCTGATAGTGTATAAATTCTTTCACAACGACACTTTATGAAATGTAATACCTTCTCCCAAAGCCAGATTGTAGTAAAGATCAACAATGTTAGGGCACTTTTGGTTGCATTCTTGAGAACACAGCTTAGAAGTGAATGTTGATTCAAGAAGTGAATCAGAAGAAATGCCAAGAGAGTTTCTATCAGCTCCACAAGCACTAATGCACTCGTCACTTTCAATCGAATTTGTTATGTCAATATTGGACACTAACACATCCGAGGTCTTGCATTGGTACCCTCTTGTTCCCTTGATTGATTCATAACTCTCCAAAGAGCAACGCTTCCCTGACGAAGCAACTGAGTAGGCACACAATCCTACTGACAAATCTTCACACACAATTTCACCTGTATTTTCAAATAATAATAAGAAAAAATGTATCGTCACTAGCAAATCGTTACCAAAGGTCTATAACATGAATTAGATAAACATAGAGGTGTTACCAAATTTGCTTTCGCTAAGGAGAAACTCCTAAACTAGTATTTACGTACGTTTAAAAAACTACGTATATAAAAGAAGAGTACATACCATTACTGGCAAGAGCTCCATGAATGACAAATGAAAAAACAAGGAAAATAATGAGCTCCATATTTGGTAAAACAAGAAAAATATCCCTTCTTCTTAGAATAGTAAGAAGAGAATTTGTTTATGAGATATATGGAAGAAAAGAGAGTTTGTTTATATAGGAAAAATTTGGATGAGTCCAATAAGAAATGCCACTTAACCACTAGAAGGTAACTATAATATATTTAAAAATTTTGTAATAGATTTAACCTTGCATATATTGATAGACTAAATATTTTTCAAGTACATAATTTTGATATTACCAATGATGTACGTAGGATTTTGCACGAGCAGTATCGATTGATGGTTAAGGGAGGTCGTTTGGTTGGCGTACAAAGTTATATGGTGCATGAATTGTAATATCAAAATCATAATGCATGGATTGTAATGTTTAGGTTAACAACAATCCAATTGTGTAATAGCAGACTCGACTCAGAAGGCATTGAGGAGGGATTGATTTCGGATCGTTACTATGGGTACGTAACTATCCACCAAACCAATTAAGTCATCTCATTGGTTTATTATTAAGTGCATATACTTTATTAGTGAACGATAAAAAATAGGATATATGATGTATAATAAGAAGTTGATACAAATTTTTGTTTACCAATTCACCCTTAGTATATATTAGTCTAATTTAATTTTCTGCCGAATGTAGACCATTTTCTTGTTCTCAATTGTTAATGTGTTATTATAATTTATAATATGATAGAGCCTGCAGAATGGTGATTTGGATTTGCTATTTTATATTGTTTCAATGTGGACAATTTTGCGGAAATTACAAATTGCAATGTGTCTTTCTTTTATTATTTATATGATCTTTATTTATTCACTGTATTCTGGAATC